AAAAAAAAAGCGAAGCAGTCGTCGGCGGGACTCGAACGCACGCCGCCGGCGCAAAAATGTATGGACGGGAGCCTTAGTCGGCTCAGCTACGCCGCTTACTCGAAAAAGATTCTAATGTTCTTCTTTACATGGGACATAGTTGCGTGACCCTAACTTTGTTTTGTAATTTCTCCTAAACGAAGGCCCATTGGCACAAACGCCTTTAGGGTTTTATTAGCTACATGTAAGCTATCGAATGCACTATGACTCGTTGGAAAAGCGATTTCCTAATTGGCGTCATCTCCTTGTAAGAATCATTGATAATTATTTATTTTCAGTATTAAAAATACTGGATAATAAGTAATTATCAATGATTCTTAGTATGATATTTCTATAAGGGTATAACTTCTGTCTGAAACATTTTTCTATAAAACTTATATTTTCTGAATTATTCGAGGGTAACGACCTTTTTCCCTCACCTTCTACGAAGCTGTCGTGAGAACGTAGAGTTGGTAGAAGTGAACATAAAAGTTCTATACCGTTTTGCGATATTCGTGATAATAACCTAGAAATTGCGAAAAATTTAAAAAAATATGAATGGTAGAGGACGGAGTGCTCGAATCACAGCGCGGCCCAATAATATAGCGCGCGGATGTCGGTGCGTGACAATTGGAAGAACAACATACCACTGCCTATGCTTATGAGGGTGGATCAATTAGTATTCGTGTTTGAAGACAGATGGCGTTGCTGAGGGAAGTTGGCATTACCATCGTGTACTACCATCTTTCAAACAATGCCACACAAAATTTCTGATTTATAGGTTAGTTTGGTTTGACAACCATTTGTATTAAACGTGTTTGATATTTTTTGATACAATGGAAAAAGAGTAATATCAATCCGTAATTCGCTTTTTATTTTTGGGTAGAAAAACGTGCGAAGAAATAAAAGTGAAGTTGGATGCTGTCTATTGACCCTTCACCATCTACGACAACCGTGAGATATTGGTTCAACGAATTCAAACGTGGCCGTACATCTGTTTTTGATGAGGAGCGCTCATGTCGTCCGGCAGACGTGGTTACTGAGAAAATCGTTGAAAAGATCCACGATTTGATTCTCGCTGATCGCCGAACGAAAGTGCGTGAAATAGCAGAGGCCGTAAGCGTACGGAACGGCAATCAATATTTTATATGATAAGTTAAGAATAAGAAAGCTGTCGATCCGATGGGTGCCGCGATTGCCCACGGTGGACAACAAACAGATATGGCTGTCAATTTCTGAACAGTGTTTGGACCTCTTTATGCGAAATCCGCAGGAGTTTTTGCGTCAAGTCACCGTTGATGAAACCTGGATCCATTTATACCCAGAGACCAAGCAACAGTCAAAACTTTTCTGGATGAATCTGCTTCGAAGAAGGCAAAGACGGTCCTATCGGCCGGAAAGATCATGGTCATAATTTTTTGAGATTCGAAGAGAATAATCCTCATGGATTTTTGGGAGAAAGGAAGCACGATCACGGAGCAGTACTATAGTGAATTATTGCACCGATTCAACGAGAAATTGATGGAGACACGGCCCGATTTGGCAAAGAAAAAAGTGCTGTTTCACCAACGTTCACTCATCCAGAATCGTCGCGGTCAAATTGAATGAATTGTGTTATGAATTGTTGTCGCACCCACCGTATTCGCCCGACCTGGCTGCCTGCGACTTCTTTCTGTTCCCCAATATGAAAACGTGGCTCGCGGGAAAAAATGTCAGCTCAAATGAGGAGGTCATCGTCGAGACAGAAGCCTATTTTGAAGAATTTGACAAATCGTATTTTTTTCGAAAGGTTAAAAAAATGGCAGAGACGTTGGGAAAAGTGTATAATCCTAAAAGGAGATTACGTTAAAAAATTAAAAAAAAATTTGTGAAAAATTTGCATCTTCATTCCTAACATGGATACCTATTGATTCATCCTCATATATCGTTACACTCCTACATCTTGTCGCATCGCGCCGAGGCGACCTGTAGGAGTGTAGCGATGTAAGCATAGATAGTGATG